TGTAACTTTAAAATGTAATAACATAATAGAGATAATTACCAAACACTTTTAAGCACTTCGGAGAACGTTATGAAGTTGGCTGACATATCACACTTTTTAACAAATCAACTCCAACTTGTGAAATCGTCGTTGGCTAAACTAACTCTTCCAAAACAAGAAGTCGTGCCAGAAAAACCAAAGAACGCAAAGTCGCAATTTCTCGACTTTTTAATGGTCCACGAGACTGTCTCAAACTATTTGGAAGACAACAAATTCCTGGAGGCGTCAAAGTGCTTTATTGATACCTTTGCCCTGAAAGACGTGTTGATGTTGAACAAACGATATAAAAACTATTTGTCAAAACGAATGAGAATACTTTCATCGACAGAAAACGTCATCATAGACGCAATAAAAAGGAACTTTGATGGGGCTGTACTCTCTATGAAAGAAGATTTGGTCGTCGAATGTTTTGTGGTCTTCGCGCATCACACGCACAGTAAATTGAACGACATCTTCCACTTGATTTTGGCAGAGCGTAAGAGTTGGGTGGAGAGTTACTTGAAAGAGAATAACGACCTTCAGGTGGTGTACAACTACATTATTGATACGTACCAATTCATTAGAAAATACTTCACTCCCGATTTTGAAGGTAAAATGCAAATTTTGTTCAACTCAACGTACTCGTCTTCTGAAGACGTGTTCATTTCGTTCAATGAGAATACCGAAAACCTGCTGTTACAATGGAAGCGAAGTGTATTGAATGACGTTGGTGATTTGATCAACGGGAGTATATCTAAGTTGGAGACGGTAAAAGACGTGAAAACGATTGGCGTGACTTTGCACGAAATTAAAGTAAATCGCAAAGAAGAGGACTTAATATTCGACTCGATGTTTTTCATTCCAATTAATCGGAGGATGAATGCCGTTTTGAAAGAGCTCTGGATGAAGCTCTTTGACATTTTCACGTCGCACAACACACTCCCAAACAATACTATTAAGACCAAAGTCAACATGAACAATTTGTTCTTTGAAAATGGCGTGATGGTTGGACAAAACGAACTCAGTTCAGCTTTTGTTAACAAGAGCTCTGTTGACTCTTTCTTTTTGAAATTTGAGGAGTGTTTCCAGAAAATCGAGGTAGAGCTGAACGAAGTCTATAACGAAGACGGGAGCGCAAAAACACTGGTGTTTGAATTGGAAAAGAAACGCGACGAAGTATTTGCTGTTGGTTTTGTCAAATGGAGTGACTCGATCATTGAGGAGTTGTTCACGATGAGCACCGAGATGGAGAAGTCTAAGAACTCGCCAAGTGTTTTTAAAGACAACTTGATGGTGTTTCTAGGGTACAGTTGTTTGCTCCACCAATGTTGTTGGAGGGTTTTGAAAGAATCGACCACTCTTAAGGATTACACGAAGAATGTGTTTACAACGGTACGTGAAGCGTTGACAAATCTCTGTGTTAAGAGTGGGCAGTATTTCTTCGATACGATTTTAACCAATCTGCGGATACCATTCTTACGCGAAGCCGGAATGGAGACCATGGGATACTCCCCCGTCAAGAATATCATCTGGAAGAAGGTCGAGTTCCGCGACTCATTCTATTATACTGTGAACGGGTTGTCATACATTACTGACAGGTTCTATAACAAGATGCATTTGGTTGCGTCTTGTTTGGGAGACATCGGCGCAATTATGGCGTTGTACATTCACTCTCAAGTCATTAGCGTACTTCTTAAGCGATACGAAGATTACTTAAAGGTGTATGGAGCAGACTTCGCTGTCCAGTTCTTGTGTGACGTGATGGTGCTTCGGTACATCTTGCTCCAAACTCATAAAGTGGCGTTCAGTGAGTTGAAAGAATTTTCTGTGCCATTTGCGTTGGTGGACAAAATGGACCGTATGCAAGACTCAATGTTAGAGAAAATTTCAAGCGAAATTGAGGAAATAAGGAAATACCTCGATGACATCGACTTTGTTTTGTATTTCAATGACTCGAAGGCGATCGGAGTTGAATACTTCCGTCACAAAACTACAACATTCTCCTCTCTTTTTCCCTCTCATTCCGACATGTCTTAATCTTAAGGTGAAAATATGACAACGTGATAAACATGAGTTCTATTTGACAGCTTCTCATTTTTTTTATTTTTGTTGAAACTATAAATTATAGCTGTTTTACTTATTAACATATGGTTTTGATTTGGTCAAATAAAAAAAAGAAAAAACAAGAAGAAGATTTTGAAAGCCTTTTCTATTTTTTTATTTTTTTCAATGTTTCAAATAATGCAATAAAATGGTTGTTATATAGTATTTTTACTACAAAATGTGATTAAAAAAACAATTTGGTTTTTATTAACGGAATAATGTCAATCGAAACGAACAAAGAAAAAAATGAACGAAAATCCTCTTTTTGGAAATCTCAATACCAAAGTGACAATCAGTTTGGAACGAAGAACTATAAAAGCAATGCAATATTTTTCCCTTCAGTTAATTCACTCAGCGCCGGTCCGTGGAGAGATAGTCGATTGGTGTTTTCAGCCTCACTCTCGTTCTGTTCTTGAACTGACAAAGAGTGGAACTGAAAAAATATACGAGTTGGTTCACGAGGAAGACCAACAACGGGTTGTCGACCTTCGCAAGAAATTTGGACTATTTAACAGTATCATTTACATTCAACGCGATGAAGGACAAATGCTTTTTCTGTTGGACTCAGAAAGAGTTTACACGGATGAAGGAGTGAAGATCATTAAACCCGCAACACAAAGGATCACTGCTGCCGTTTTTTGGAAATCAATGAGGGGCGAATACCTCATTGTAGGATTGGCCACAGGGATGATCACATTTATCGAGTTGAGTAGTTGTGCGTGTGTGAAATCGATCCGAATAGTCTCGACACCAATTACTGATCTGAAAATTGTGAAGACGGCAATTGGGTTTCAGCTGATTGTCGTTGCACAACACAACGAGGAGAAGGAGGTGATGCACTTGGTTTTGCAGAAACAAAATAAAAGCATTTTTGATGTGAACAACACCTTTGTGCCCACACTGATAGAACTGAGTAATCAAGTACAAATTAATGGGAACGAAATTGTGTGTTACAACGAGAGGGAAAAGGAGGTGAACACGTATACGGTGGATACGGATAGGTATGTCCACTCATATACATTCGACTTGGGGAAGATCGATGTTAACCCAATATCGTTTTTTCATACAAACGAAATGTTGTTTATTGTAAACAAAGAGGTTCGAGATCATATTGAAAGACTGTTTATTAAAGCGTTCATCACTTCTTCGTTTCTTAAGAGAGACCCGGTGATGTTCCAGGAACTCGAGATTCCAGTTTGTGTTGTTTTTCTTGGCGATAAAACCAAAGTGATGAGTAGAATGAAAAGATACTGACGCTTGCACCAAACCCATCGTTCTCTTCATACATTAAAACAACGGAATCACTCAAGTATTTGGATGGGATGTTTGTGTGTTCGACAGACCATGTATTTAGGGTTGATGCGACCATGTCGGTGGAGGAAATGTTACAAATCAAATTTCTGTCGAGTGAGAAAAGCAAGTGGATTTTACTGAAACCGTTCATTCAGTGTTTTGGGATACCACCATCATTCTTTTTAAGGGTATCGAAAAAGATGAATATCACAACGGCGTTGGAGCTGTTGCCGTTTTACCCCAAATTGTACGAATCGATTTTTATGAGAATTATTCGGGAAGATGCGGACGAAAATTGTTGGAATAAGTTAATTGATTTTGTTACCAAACAGCCAGCAAACAACGCGGAGATGGCAAATAACATATTCAAAATATTTGCGGCCAAATCATATCGTTTTTTTGAAGACGTCGACAACAATTTTGTTAAGTTCATCCAAACGAACGATTATTACGACGATTACTTTGGTGTGTTGAAGTTGTTGAGAGATAGGCGATACATCTCAGAGATACTCAAAGTTGGGAAAAGACGGTCAGTTGACTTGTATTGCGGCTTTGTACGAAGCTTTGCAATCATTCCGGAGATCGATTGGATTGACAGCGCAACAAAAGCGAATCCCAAGTGTGCTGTTTCGATTTGTAGCACACCACCAATATTTACTTTACTTTCAGAACACAAACAGTTCGAGTTGCTTGTAACTGCAATCGAGAAAGAGCCAAATTTTCTTTTTGTAACGATGCTTCGGAATTTAGTCGAAAAACTTGACGAGACGGATTTGAATAAGTGTCTGAAAATAGTCGAGCCGGGAACGTTGTATAACTGCATTTGTCTTGGTAATGATGGCATTGAGTTTGAACTCCGGATGATCAACGCGATTATCTTATTCAAGCAAAACGATGAAACGTTACACAGAAATTACAAAGTGTGTTCGGAGTTTTTGGACAATATGTTTCTTCACGTCAAGGCAGACTTTGGCGAAGTTTTTGAGTTTTTCATGAACAAAGAAAACTATTTTGCCGCGTCTGCGTGTTTGTTGATGTACGAGCAGTACGAGGCCGCGATTGAAATCTTAGTCCAGAACATCGAGCGGTTTGAGAATAAAGATGAGATTATTTTACTTATCATGTCATTCTCACACTTTTTGGCGTTGGATGATCAAACAGTTTTATTTGATACCTTCTTGAATTTGTCTGAGAAGTACAACATCAACGATACCATTTTCAACGACGTCATGACCTCGCAATTTAAAAATAACACAATTTTTGTGTCAACTTACTTCCTCAACTTGACGTTCCAGAATCCGCCGTTGTACAGTTCTCTGTTATTAAAAACTTCACCGGAACTCCTCACAAAGATGAACGTCGAGTTCTTTAAGAAGAAGAATGTTCTTATCCACATCGAAGCAGAGCTCGAGGCTGATTTGGTTGTCAACTTATCTCCATCAATGAAAATCCCAGTGAGTGCGACAAAAAAGTTTGTTGACAATGTCCAAACAGTCGTCGTGTGGTGTCCGTGTTTACACTCGTTCACTGTCGACGCACTCAAACGTGGAATTACTGATTTAAAAGCCAAACATCCAGACGACAAAACAGTGAATTTGGCAGCGGAGTACATTGACAAATTTATTGGGCAAAACGGCAAGAAAGTGGGAATGAAAGTGATATGCCCTGAATGTCTGCAAACTATTTTTTAAGTTTATTATTTCATTTGGTTGTGTTATCAATGTCACAAAAGGAAACAAAATACGACAAGTGGAAAACATTGAATAAGTGAAGTGATTATGTCTCGAAATTTGCGTTTTGAGCGTTACTGTCTTTCTCAATGAATTGTGGATTCACAACGGCGTTATCGACAGTGTTTTTCATGGCATTTCTGACGACGTCGTATGTTTTCTTGATTGTTATGCCAATGATAACCAGGCCAATAACGAGCGCAGCAACAACAGCGGCGACAGTGGTGGCAGCCGCGATTGCAGCTTTGTTATCGACTTGGTTGTATAAAACACACGTTGCCGTCTTATCTTGGATCTCCCCGTTGACAATGCAATTACCACAAGCGTCTAACGAGAAGGTGTTGTTCTCGTAATCACTGAACATGGCAAGTACCCACCCACTTTCTGAGACTACAGAACACTCACAATAGAAACACAATTTGGCGTATTTCGACATGTTGGGGAACTCCGCATCTATGTCACAAGTCACAGTTTCTGTCATGATTTCACCAGTGACCGCGTCGCATGTTGCAGTCAAACATTTGTTGGACATTCTCTCTGCTTGTGCCACATAGTCTTTGATTGTAATCCACTCGTGTGTGAGTTTGTTGTCGACCAATTTTTCAGTGCAGTTGTATGCAAAGCACTTGTTGTCACACATACGAGTCGCTGCATCTTTGCCTTGTGAACACTCGGTGATTGCTACTTTGTCGCAATATCCACTTATTCTATTGCAAGTGCCGGGCAAATACGAACAGCCGATTTCTGCTGTGCTTGACGCGCAAATGGTGTCGTCGTATGCAACAGAACAAGACTGGCCATCTGCACTACACGTCGATTTTTTGCACACAACTTCGCCGTCTTTTTCTGGAACGTTTTCTGGACAAATTGAAGTTGTGGTGACAACGTCACAATTGCCATTTGGGCTACTTGTTTTAATGAAACACTTCTCCTTTTTACAGTCGCTATGATAGTCACACTCTCCGTCTATTGTGTTGCATTTCACATCAAGTTCTTCGGTCGACTGAAGAGCGCATTTGTCATAGATCTTGCCACCAACAACAGTCAAATCGCACAACTGACATGTCGACTTGTATTTCACTTCATTGATATTCCACTCGCATTTATAGTCGTCGTACTCTCCAGTTGTAATTAACTTGTAATCGTATATGTCTTTACAGTTTGTCGGGAAGTCTTCGTGCTTGGAGCAGTCATAGTCTTCTATCACACATTTTCCTTTGTCGCATCCATAAGGAATGCCATTCGGATTCTTCTTGGCGTCACACTTGAGTTCGATGTATTGGGCTGGTTTAGTGAAGATGTTATCATACTCACAATATTCACAATTGTTCAGAACTAAGCTTGGATCTATCACTTCAACAAAACAGATGCCATTCTCATACTTCCATTGATAATTCTTTTCACATAATTTCAATGGGTTTGTAGTATTCTTGAAGAGGTCGGAACAGTTGAAAGTGGGCGGTTCTTTACATTCACCACTTTGACATGTTAATGGCACACCTTGTGATGTCGTCTTCCCTTCACATTTATCAACTTTTTTACCATCGACGCAGTCAAGACATTGTTCGTTGGCAGAGTCTGTAGTGACTCTGTTACATTCCTTTTCCCCACTACAAATATATTTCACAAGCCCCTTGCACTCTTCTGGAATAGTATATGTGTCACATTTATATTCCTCTTGTTCCGTGTAATAAGTGCCATTAGTGCTATCATACTTACACACTGTTTTGTAACATCCTTTCCATTCCAAGTTACCAGTTATTCCACACTTATTTAATGTGCCGTTACACTCCGGAGAGCTTCCAGTCAAATCACACACTTCGTTAGTGTTACACGTCCCATCATTTTGACATTGACATTGATAATTAGTATTTTCATTACATTTACAACTTCCTCCATTAGTCCCACAAACGGGTCGATTTGAATCACAATTCAACTTTGTGAGACAAGTCCCAGAAGTCTCATCACATGTGGCAATATAACATGGATTCTCTTGATATGGCGACACCTTAACACATTGTTTAGGTTGAGTCTTGCATTGTGCATTGGAGTCACAGTAAAATTCTTGGCACTTTCCCTTTGTTGTTGGACATTTATTATAGTCCGTCACAGCGTTAGAAACACACTCACCACTGCCTTGATTGCATTTATAAGTATGGCAATATCCATCAGAACTTGGCTTGGCATCTGCTTGACAGTTATCTTTGAACAGACATGTGTTGCCTTGGCAATACGGTGCCAAGCACTTCACTGATGTTTGACATTGTGGTTTAATAGTTTTAAGGACACACCCAAACTCTTCATCACATTGATAGTCACCTAAACAATCCGAACTACTACACTTTAATTTTAACATAGGAGCTTCAGTCGGGAATTTCACACATGTCCCAGTCGATGTCTCACATTTGGTGTAGTAACACTTGTTGTGACAACACATAGGACAAATGCATCGAGCACCTCCATCACAGAATCCATTGCACTTCGTTCGATCACAAAGTTCAGTCATATTAGCAATAATGGTATTGTATAACATCTTCATGTCTCCGTCCATATTCTGTGAGTCGATTTTAATATAGTGTTCTCCTTTATCAACAAGTTTCTGTAAATTGTATTCTTCCTCCACTGAAGAGTCGTAGTTCACTACATACACAGTCATATTCATATTTCCACTTGTGCCTTTGTTCAACACAGAGTTAATATATTGTTCCGAACTTGAAGAACTTTTAGTTAAAAAGACCAGATTCTTCCCTTTAAAATTCGCTATTTGGGAGTACACGTACTTCAATCCTTCTTCTGCAGAAGATGCAGCCAAAGATGTGATTTGATTCAGAAAAGTCTTAGCCTCACTCTTTGAGAGTAAATTAGTCGATTTATAAACAGACCTTGAATTGGCATATATCGAGAATTTGGTCGATGAAGAGAATTGTTCGATGAAACTACTTGCAATTGAATTCATGAAGCTTCTTAATGTGTTTGTCGAGTCCAAGTTAATCATAAGCCCAACAGCAATGTCGCTTTGAATTGGATAAATTGCACTTCTCTTGCATTTAGTGATATTGTTTGCCTGAAATTCATTCACAAAGGTTGGCGTATATTCCGATGCACTTCTAAAAGTGATTGACTTTCCTCCAATAAAGTCGAGTCGACATGGGGTATACCCTTCTCCATACGCATTACTATTGTTATACACCTTTTCAAGTAAATAGACATTTTGAAGGGGTGGTCTTGCAGCGTATTTATAACATGTCAATCCGTTAATAGTAGATTTCTCTATGCGCGATGTGTCACTTGGGACTAAAGACCAATCAATGACAAACTTCCGCATTGGGTAGCCTATTTTCTTTCGACACATATTAACGCCAGTGGTGTCATCTTTGTCATATCCATAATCTTGGTTGAATACAATTTGCGTGTAAATATCATTCAAATTGTCTGTGGCGGGCATGTTCTTGTCTATGGTAGTCCACTCCATGTGTCGCCATGGTTGCATTGTAAGATAATAAAACACTTCATATTTTTGTGAGTAGCTTCGAACCCAACTGGCAGCATTTTTACCCATCCCCATGCGGCCGGGGTCTTGTATATCGACCGTTCCTGTGAATTCATTCAAGCTAATAGCTGATGCAAATAATCCAAAAGCTAATGTAAACAAAAGGTACATTCCTTCGAATCGTAATTTTGAAGTTCGTTAAGTCGTTTTTATTATGAAAAAAAATACTTCAAGGAGTTTATGTAATTTATAGAGATGCTTTTTCTTAACGATTTTTCTTATTAATTAATCAAAATAATATAGTTCAAATTACTAAATAAATGTAGTTCACCAATTATCCGAAATTTCAAAAGAATTGTTTGTTGTTTTTGTGGAAAATATCATTATTTTCGCATCATATTTGAAATGAATTTTTTTATAGTAATGTCATTTGTTTTATATATAAAATAAACATTAAAATTGAAATTTGCATTCTGATAAAAATGTGTTTGGTTGTAATGTTTTCGTTGTTTGTATTTGAAAAAATATGAAAAAATATGTAAAAAAAAGCTACTTTTTTTGCTTATTTAAGTTCAAATAATTTTACAAAATTTTTTAAAAGCTAACCAATTTATTTAAATTAATAGTTTATAATAATTTTATAATACTATTTTTTTTTAAACAAATTATGGAAAAACTTCAATATTTAAACTTAATTATTATATCTTTTTATTAGAACGTTCTTTTTTTTTCTTATTATAGTTTAATATATCAATTTAAAAAGTTACTGAAATCTTTAAGGGCATACTAGTGGATGGACGTCTATCCACTGGATAAGCGTCCATCCAGTGGATACACGCTTTTTTGCTGGATACAAATATATTTTAGTAAAATAAAGTCAATTTTGTCATTAAAAAAAAAGCATTTATTCTAAATTAACCTTAGCAAGTCAACTGAATCAACTTTTTTTGTGGGAAGGTGAAATCTGGATAAGATTTATCTAGATCATATTTATTTTTAGAATAATTAAAAATAAATTCAAAACACGAAATCGATTAGTTTTCGCGCAAACTACTGGTCTTTACAGACCAATGTTTTCTATTTTCCATGTGTTCAAAATAGTCAATACTTGCTGTTACGAGACATACACATAAATTTTCATGAGAGCGCTTCGATTTTTATCAATTTTTCATTATTTAAATTGGTTTGTGACACGCCGTTCTTAATTTAAGATCTTTTTAGTTCAAATACAAAAATAAAAAAGTGACTTATTTTGAGTAAAAAAATCAAGGATATAAATTATCCAGTTTTCACTTCGTAAGGTTAATAATAAAAATTTTTTTTAAAAAATAATATCACCAAATGTTGTCATCTGCCACATTACTACGTTATTATTATCATTCAATATGTTAATTATGATACTTTTATTAACATTTTTTTTAATTTAACATTTTTTTAATTTACAAGCTAATTTATTCATATTATCGTTAATTTTTTACTTAATTGAATACATTGATTTCAATTAAATTTGTTCGTTAATATTTGCTCCTTATTAAAAAAACAACTCGTTAAATAACATACTAAAAATATCAAAACAAAACTGTTTTTTAAATTGTTTTTTATAGCGGTATCAGATAAACGATCTTGTTAATGATACATAGTAATGACGAGTAATTTACACACTGATCTACAAAATGTATTCCGATATTCAAAGTATAGTTTTATGTTGGTAGTTGAATTAAAAGTATAGTAAAACAAAAAATGGAGAACTTGAAATAAATTTGAAATATTTTTTTCAAAATTTTGGGAGATCGTCCTAAAAAGTTGCTGTGGATGGATCGATTTCGGTGGATGCGTTAAAACAGCTATATTTAAGCTATTATATCGGGATGTTTGAGTTATGGGATTTTTGACGTTTTAACATAAAATAATTACAAATTCAGCAAATCATATTCAATCATCCATATTTTATTGTTAAAAATAAAGTTAATTTATTTTTGTAAAACTTAGCTTTTCGTTGTGTTTTTTAATTATATTAAAAAAAGAAATTTAGTAAATGTTAGATTTACCAAAATTTATCTTTTTTAATTATATTTGATCTGCAAACAGAAACATATTATTAATAAAAATTATTTTCATTATTAACTTTTAGCATGTTTATAATATAGAGCAAAACGAGAGTCATTTTAAAATATTTATTTGTTTGTTTTTTATATCGGTCATACAATTAGAGTCAGTGTTATTTCTTAGGTAACAATTTACAGATTTTACCGATATCTTTTTTGGTTTTTGATAAAAACGTCAAAAATCCCATAAACAAACAATCCCGAAGTAATAGCCCATATGTGGCTGTTATAACCCATCCACCGAAATCGATCCATCCACATCAACTTTTTAGGACGATCTCCCAAAATTTTGAAAAAAATAACCCAATTTTATTTCAAGTTCTTCATTTTTTGTTTTACTATACTTTTAATTCAACTACCAACATAAAACTATACTTTGAATATCGGAATACATTTTGTAGATCAGTGTGTAAATTACTCGTCATTACTATGTATCATTAACAAGATCGTTTATCTGATACCGTTATAAACTATAAAAAACAAAACAAAAAATTAACCCGAAAAATAAAAAAAACATTCTTGTGTTTAAAAACGTGAAAACAATACTATTTTTTACGAATTTTTTTAAATGTTTCGGTCTTGGCAATAATCACCTAAACACGTTTATCATTAATCTTTTCAGTGAAAGAGAATGGATATTATTTGGATAAGAGTCTTTTTGGCAAAATCGATCTCTGATTTTTCAAAATTTTATTTTTTTTTCAATTTTTTGGTGCCCGATATTTCAGTCTATTTTTCCCTTTTATACACCAATCCACTAAAAAACGCCAATCCAGTGTCATGCCCTAAATTGAATTTATTCTTTGTCGTTTGAATAAGTATAGAATAATAAATAAATAACTTAATTAAAGTTAAATAAGAAATTATTTCCACAACATTTTATTTTTAGCATTACAATAATAATAGTAATGTTAATAATATTAATATTAAAAAATTATAATAATCATTTTGACACAGAATATAAATATAAAAAGTAAATATTAATTTTAACTCTTCAAAAAGAATACTAAAAAGTTTGTTTATTTTTTGATGTGAATAACAAGAGGGACATGACTGTGTGTTATTTCTCTTTCTTTTAATACAACGAACAAACTCAGAGATATTCACTTCTTTTCTTCTATAAATCTGTGTTATATCGTCGACAAGTTCCTTAGAAACATCGAAGTAGTCTAATCTCCACCCAGACACTTTAGCTTTATCTCTGAACGAGAAGAATGTATAAAAGTTCTTTTCCTTTGGGTGTTTCACTTGGAAGGAATCGACCAATCCGACCTCTTCGAGTAGTTGACTTGCACTTTCTCTTTCTTCTTTAGTAAACCCCGCACATCGCAGTCTTGTCGCTGGTTTCGCCACGTCTATCCACCGTAAAGCAACGTTCAAATCGCCGCACCAAATCACTTTCTTCTTCTTCGATAAATCAATTAAGTGCTTCTTCATACTCACGTCCCACGTGTCGACTCTTTTCTTCAAATTCTCCAGCTTCACACCACTATTCATCACATACGTGTTGACTAAATAGAACTTCTCATACTCTGCAGTAATGATTCTTCCATGCTCGTTAAGCTTCCCATCAAGTTTCATAGTGACGGTGATTGGTTTCTCCTTCGTTAATATTGCCGTCCCCGCATATCCCTTCTTTGCAGTCGATGCGCTGAAGTATGAATTGTATCCACTGACGGTCGGTACAACACCGTCTTGAAGCTTTGTCTCTTGAAAACAGATGATGTCCGGATCTTCCTTTTTAATGTACTTCTCAAGCCCCTTTCCCATTGCAGCCTTCCACCCCGCCACATTGAACGTAACTATTTTCATCTCACCACTTTCAAGCTTTGGTTCACTTTCTTTGAAGTCTGCAGTATAATCAGTGTAGTGTGCGTTTTCCCAATACTCGTCATTGTCCTTCTCTTTGTCATACAATTGATCTTCTTTCAAACTTTTCTTTGGTGCTTTCGTAGTGGTCTTTCCTTTCTTATCTTTCTCTTCATCACTCTCTTCAGACTTCTCTTCTTTCTCTTCCTCTGGCTCAACTTCCTTTTTGGCGCTTTTCGTTGTCTTACGAGTCTTCTTTGGTGTCTTCTTTGGCTTCTCTTCCTCTTCTTCTTCTTCCATCTTTTTCTCCTTCTCATCTTTCGCTTCATCCTCTTCTTTTGTTTGCTTTCTTGTGCGCATTGTTCTCTTCATAACTCTATTCCTCTCTCAATCTTTTTAAGATTTGTCTTTTTCCCTTCTCATTCTCAATAAGATTATAAATAAATTCGATAAAAAAAACTATAATGTGTCGAGCATTTCTTCTTCTCTCTCAATAGTAATGAATAGAGAGAAAACAATACAAACTAACCAACAGAAAACTGTTATTATTATATATCTGACATGAAATGACATCAACATGAGCGTTATTCGTTCCTGATATTGTATATGATTTTCGACTCGTTAATTCGTGGTGCAAGCTTAATTGTATATGCCATAGCCACAAACCATGCATTAGCCTCAACAACATCTCCAAAAACAAGTGTGACGGAGACGTCATACAAAACGGAAGTAAATGATACCGAAGGACCCAGTGATGGGTTCGGGCAATACGACACAATCGCGTCTTCTGATATCATATACACTTGTTGTACTTGGAACACATCACCCTCAAAATCTTCGACTGTTTCGTATTGATTAATTTGCGCATAGGTCTTGTTCAATTTGCTCTTCTTGACTTTCTGTCCCTTCATTTTATCGATTTTTGTCTCAATTAAGACGTCGTTAAATAAAAAGAAGTACGCCTCTCGGACGCCATTGTCTTCTTCGATTGTCATGAACTTACAAACTCCCGATAAAATGTATCGACGGCAACTTTTGTTCATATCAAGCAACCCTGGAATGGCTTTAATGACTATGCCATATTTCTCACGCTCTTCTTCATACAACTTGGTTTCGTTAATCCACGCGGCGACATCCAAAATCACTTGGTAGCACTCCACAAGTGTGTCTGTGTCTTGTGTGATTGGTGGTGCGCATTTCAACATATCTTTGATTAACAAAACGTATCGAGGAATTCGTTGGATGGGCATGATCAAGTACGATTGAATACGTTGAACCACAACACCCTCATGACACTCTTTATAATGCTTTATACTTCTTTCAACAATGTGTTTCACACCTTTTTGATGCATTAGTTCATTCACCGTCCGCAGATTAGCATTGTACTCGACTATATATGGACACGTCGCCTTGACGAAGTGGAAGAAGTATCGCATCAAGTCGGCGACCATTGGAACAACTTTGTTACCAACGGCCTTCATTCTCTGGCTTATCTTCTTATAAAATATCGAGTGAAGATCGTACAGCATTCCAATTTGTATTTTCATCTTTTGAACTATTGGGCTGTACTTACTGTAAGAAAGGGGGACCAAGTAACATTTGAAAAGAACGTCCAATGACTGGACATGTGATTCTTCAGTCAACCACAACTCCGTCATCACGTTTTTATATCTCTCGTATTGTTCCTTTTCCGTGTCGTCGAGTATAGAGAAGTATTTTGTGATGTCTTCGAACCCCGTCAATTCTGGTGGGAGTCTTTGGGGGTCAATTTGTGGTGTTTGGAGATCCCCATTTTCAGAAGGATTTAACGCGTTTCTTTCCACATTTTCGTTCTCTTTTTCACTCAGTTTGTCAGTTTGTAAATCTGGAGATTGAACGTGATCGTCACTTTTCTTCTCATTTTTTGGAATATTTAAACCACTCGTTTCAATCTGAGTAACCAGTTCTTGTTCAGTCGATACTATCCCCTCTCCTACTCCTTTACTTGTCTTTGTCTGGTGTACATCAATTATTCTCAAGTGTTTCCCGTTCTTATCTAAGTCGACAAGACGAAACTCATCACCATGTCGTTGCATGAACTCTTCTTTCCTCTTTTGCATCATCGCGCGGATTTCTTTGATCTGTTCCATTGGGTTATCGTCGCCATTCCGAATGTCGAGGACTAAACACTCCTCATAACCTTTAATAGGAAACCCTACGGTGACACGGTTCCGTTTTAAATACTCTCGTACTTTATTTTCGTCACTGGATATCATGATGTCAACGTCTTTCTTATCAAACCAGGTATATGTCACTCCATCAACTCGCTCTAACATGTCGTCGTCATCCTCACTTACTAGAGACACACTCGATGTGTTTGACCTTTCATTACTCGAAGCATCACGTTTGTCAAGCGCGTCGTCTTTTTTCACTCGCAAAAATTCTTTGTCTTTCCCATTGCGCGGACGTTCACTTTGAACGCGTGTTGGAGACTTTTCTCGTGAGACGTGGTACGCCTCTGCTGTAAGTCGCCGCGGCCCATTTGTTTCGTCTACGACTCTTGGCGTGTTCGTAGCAGTCTTTGCGAGGAGCTTTCCCTCAACGACATCGTTGAAAGCCTTTTCGACGAAGTCGTCTTTGCTCTTCCCATCGATTACATCTTCAGGAGTTTTAAGTGTGTGTTCTTTATCGTGTTTGTCTGAAACATCCAAATTATTAATTGACAAATCTATAGCGCCTAAGTCTTCAAGTCTCGGAGTTTTGGGGTTCTGTTTGGACAGCTTTTGGCCGTCGGGCGTCATGACAAGGATCTTGTTCTTTGTGTGCGTCTTCTGCTTTTCAGCGACTTTTGTGGTGCACCCGACGTTCTCCTTCAACACCTTTTTGTCATCGCTTTTGGTCTCGGCGACGGACGTGACGACCTCCTCCATTCCCGACGCTATCTGTTCTTCGGAAAGAAAGTTTGAGTGGTTCGACCGTTTGTGTTGACTGAACAATTTATTTGTATGGTCGTAAAACAACGTTTCATCGTGGGGTTCATGGATTTCTCTGTTCAAGTCATACGACGAGGGGACTATTAATGATTGTCGGTGTGGTTCAAAGTCGTCCTGGTTCAACGAAAATTGTGTACGAAATATCATTGATGCTCTGTTGTCTGCTCTTCTTCGTGGGGAATGAGTGGTAATTGGACCACTAGTGGATGTCGCCGTTGGCTTTCGAATTGGCATCTTCAACCCCTCTTGAGTTTTGCACGAGATGTTGAGAGGTATAGTACCGCCTATGCTCATCGGTTTCGAGTTGGATTCCAGTTTAATCGAAAAATTAAAAAAGTTCTTGTCGATTGGTTGGATTTTTTTTTGGTATACCAAAAAGGTTCATTTATAATAATAATATAGTTAAAGTATAGATTCTTATTTTATATCCCTGTTTTTTATAAGTGAAAAGTATTCGTTGTTTTTATTGAGTTGAGTGGATTGAAGGGTTGATGAAAGTGTTGTTTGTATATAAGACAAAAAAGTTCAAAAGACTGACAAAGATATAGTCACATTTAATTAATAAAGTGTATTATTGTATAATTATTCAAGTGATGGTGGGTGGAAAGAGCAATTGGAAATAACATAATCTGGAGAGGAAGTTCGTTTTCATTACAAAAAGATGATACACTCAAAAAGTGTCTAAAAATTTGACAACATCAAGAAAGAGAGTGTTAAACTCTTTTGGCGGAATGAAGGATTTTATTTAATAAAAAAACAGTAGAAGGTTAGAAATATATGATTTAAAAAAAAAAAACGAAAAAACTGGAAATCTGTGAATTTGGTTGCACAGTTTTTTTTTAATTGTTTTTTGTAACATATAGAGGTCGAATAATTTCATTCAATGTCTCTTATTGTTTTGTTTTGACTGGAAATGGACCTTCTGTATATATAATATATATATTAGATATAATTTTAATATTAATTTTATTATTTTAATTTACTTCAAAAATAAACTAAAATTATATACAAATAAACTATTAAATCATAACTTATTAAGTCTTTGAAGGGTTACTTTTATTATTGTTTTATATAGTACAATTCTACACTTTCTAAAAAAAATAGAAAAAATTCGACCCAAAAATGACAGTAGTAAAATAGCCAATCGTTTTGACTACAATAGCCAAAACGAAAAAAAAAAACTCCCGAAAGTATGAACTTTTTTAAACTAATATAACACTTATTTATGCGAGTTATTAACTTTTAAAATGCCAATATCACTTTAACCCCGTAAATTCCGACTTTTATTATCTAATAAAACGCACACTTTTCCTGCCGTTTTCTTGAAAAACGCTTCTTTTAGACAAAACCAAATTTCGATATTTAATAAAATATAATTTATTAAATTAATATAATTAATTCAATTTTTCTCAAGTGTAAAATTAGACAGTTTAATCCCCATAATGTGAGTTAGACAAGACAAATAAAAACAAAGTTAGTACATAATCATAAGACGATGTAATGCAACAATTCCTCTACAGTTCAAAGTATTAATAAATTGAGTTAAAAAAGTACTGATTTCTTCGAATAACCGATTTCAATGGTAAAAAATAGTTTAAAGTGCTATGTTTCCAATTTAGTTGAATACAACGGTCTTTTCTGCTCGACATAAAGTAAATTGTCAGAGAGAGAAAAGACTTGAAAAGGCAGATTAATGACTGAGGAGATTTTAAGTATCTCATCGAATCAAGACAACACGTGTTTTGCTCTCGGGACTTCTGACGGCTTTTCTGTTTATGGTATCGAGCACATGCGTCTTAAAGAGCGCTTCAAGCGGACATTCTCTGGTGGTTTAAAGATCGTTGAATTGCTATATAAGACCAATTTATTACTTCTTGTTGGGGGTGGATCGAATCCAGCCTTCCCTCCAACAAAATTGATTATTTGGGATGATTACCAGAACAAAGCGATATCGGAGTTAGACCACGACTCGGAGATCATCTCCGCGAAGTTTCGGAAAGACATCATAATAGTAGTCCTCGCAAATAAAGTGCTAGTCTATGACTTTAAAAATTTGAATCACAAAGAAGTCTTCAAGACGTGTCCAAACCCCAAAGGTATCATCGCGGTGTCATACTTGGAGACTAAAATCGTCGCATTTCCCTCCGTCGAAGAGGGCAAAGTCGTCATCGCTGACTTAGAGAAAGAGACGTCGACTACTATCGAAGTCCACAAACATGAGATCTCATTAATGGCGTTGTCACTAGACGGGACGTTGCTTGCAACGACGAGTTCCGAGGGTACACTCATTCGTGTGTGGCGGATCGAGACGGGTGACAAAGTGAAAGAGTTTCGACGAGGGAAGAGTGTTGCTACCATCTATTCTCTCTCCTTCTCTTGTGATAGTAAATTTATAGTAATTAATAGTAACAGAGGAACTATACATATCTTTGCATTGACCAATGATTCTGAAGCCCAAAATCGGATGTCTTGGGTGAGTAATATCATCCCTGGGTTTGGTGGTGTCTATTCGTGTTGTAGTAGTCCCGTCACTCCTGAGATATATACCCATGTCTTCTTCTCACAAGACGATATCAAGGACAAATATAATATCATTGGAATAACTCTTGAAGGTGTTGTGATGCGGTTTCATCTCGAGAAAAAGGGAGGAAAGACTGATATAGTGAGTGAGGAGTGTACCTCCGTCTTCTAACGTTCTAGTATCATATTAAAGTAATTGAACTAATTGTTTTTAATATCATTGAAATGCACATGTATAGTATATTTATAGTAAATTAATAGAAAAATTACTATATTCTGGAACTGAAATACTTAATGGGTGCCACGCTTTCTAGTACAAAGAATTATCAGGACTTATTTCAAACGTTTTCTAAATGGACTGGAAAGGCACGGTATAGTGTACTCTATGACTCTACATGTCAAGATATCTCCCAATTTTCTTTCTCAAATAGTGTGAAGAACAAGTCGAACGTGATGATCATTATCAAAGCGGAAGGATCAATTTTCGGGTGTTACACGTCAGAACTTTTGAAGTATACTGAAGAGGAGAGAACTATGGAAATCGTGAACGACAAAAAGCACTTCGTCTTTGTGTTTAAGCCGGAGGACAGAAGATCGAGC